GTGTTTCACACAACTGCAAAGATGATGAAGAGCGTTCTTCAGCATCATCATTAATAGGTTTTGTATTTTCCACATCTCTTTCTTTCGATTCGAGATTTGCCTTCCTGGGATTTGCGATTTCTTCAATTTTCTTCGAAATATTTAAAATATCCTTTGTCATTGTGACCATAAGCAGATCTAAGCCGGGTATTTGGATATGACAATCCTTTGATGTGCTTTCTTTGGAGCCTTTTTCATTGTCGTCGTCTACTTCTTCTTCTTCTCCCTGCTCTGTTAAATCAACAACATTAGGGCAAGATTTATTCTCATCATTACTTATAAAACATTTATCCAACTCGTTTGCAACATAGGAAGACTGGTGAGTTTTCTTCTTCTTCTCGTCATTTCCATTGGAATCCAAATCGCTATATTCACTTGGTGATGTAGTTTTTGAATCAATTTCCTGATTTCGATTTAAAATATGCTTTGGAGTATTATTACTGCCTTCCGATGTACTGGGTGAGGGTCCAAACAAGGCATCAAATAATACAGCAGTTTGATGGGGTGTGGCGGCGGCGATTTTACATAAAGTGGATGATGGTTTTTTATTTGATTCTAAAGCTAAGTCTTCCTTTGTGTGAGGATCAAGATCTCCGGAAAAATTCTGTAATGTATCCTTCTTTAAAAGCTCTGCAGTGGTTGGGGTTTTCTTAGGCTCTTCATTTAAATCATCATAAAGAACGATACACTCGTTTTCCTTGGTCTGTTGGATTTTGGAATCTTTGTTTGAGTTTGAAGATTCAGGGATAGCCTTTGAAGCGAGAGCTTCGTTGTCTTGTTTTTCAATGAAATTTTCCTTTGAGAGCTCTTCTGTTCTATTTTTAGGCGAAGGAGGAGTAGATTCTTTGCCAATTATATGGTTTTCAGGACATGTTATGGAAGGATCTTTGGGTAGAACAACAACTTTAACATCACTGGAATGTTCATCATTGGGAACCTGCTTCGTAAAAGTCTGCGCATTTTCCCTGACTGTTGTATTCTTAGTTTCAGCAATTTGATCCGGTTGTTGTTCAGGTGATGTTAAATCCAGGCAAGGTATTCTCTTTGAAGGTGTTTCACACAACTGCAAAGATGATGAGCGTTCTTCAGCATCATCATCAATAGGTTTTGTATTTTCCACATCTCTTTCTTTCGATTCGATATTTGCCTTCCTGGGATTTTCGATTTCTTCAATTTTCTTCGAAATATTTAAAATATCCTTTGTCATTGTGACCATAAGCAGATCTAAGCCGGGTATTTGGATATGACAATCCTTTGATTTGCTTTCTTTGGAGCCTTTTTCATTGTCGTCGTCTACTTCTTCTTCTTCTCCCTGCTCTGTTAAATCAACAACATTAGGGCAAGATTTATTCTCATCATTACTTATAAAACATTTATCCAACTCGTTTGCAACATAGGAAGACTGGTGAGTTTTCTTCTTCTTCTTCTCGTCATTTCCATTGGAATCCAAATCGCTATATTCACTTGGTGATGTAGTTTTTGAATCAATTTCCTGATTTCGATTTAAAATATGCTTTGGAGTATTATTACTGCCTTCCGATGTACTGGGTGAGGGTCCAAACAAGGCATCAAATAATACAGCAGTTTGATGGGGTGTGGCGGCGGCGATTTTACATAAAGTGGATGATGGTTTTTTATTTGATTCTAAAGCTAAGTCTTCCTTTGTGTGAGGATCAAGATCTCCGGAAAAATTCTGTAATGTATCCTTCTTTAAAAGCTCTGCAGTGGTTGGGGTTTTCTTAGGCTCTTCATTTAAATCATCATAAAGAACGATACACTCGTTTTCCTTGGTCTGTTGGATTTTGGAATCTTTGTTTGAAGATTTTTCTTGTGAAACCCCCTTATCCTCCTTTATGTTACTTTCATTTGTTGTGGTTACAGTTGCAGCATTTAAATCATCATAAAGAACGATACACTCATCTTCCTTGGCCGCTGGATTTTCAGAATTTTTCTTGTCATGCAAATCATCATAAAGGGCATCATATAAATTTTCGATTTCTGTACGAGAATTGCTTTCGAAAATTCCCTTTGCATTGATGTTGCTCTTTTTTGGAACTACTTTAGTAGTTGGCTTCTGACTTATCTGGGGATTCTCTTCCAAATCATTGTAAAGATCAGCACACACATTTGTCTCATCGTGATTACTAGACAATTTATTTTTCTTTTTATGATAATTATCTTCGTTCAAATCATCATAAAATATCTCATTCGAATCGGCTTTGTTATGATGGGAATTACTTTCGTTAAACTTATTTTTGAATTGGTTATTTAATTCGACATTAAAGCCTTCTTGAAAGTTGTCCGAGGAATTTTTCTTATGAGATCCTTTTTCGCCTTTTTCGCAACCTGTATTGTCCTGGCATTCATTTATATTTACGCTTAATCGATCACATTCCCTGTTTTCTTTTGACCAGCAGTCTTTATTCAGCTTATTGTCCGCTACATTAGTTTTTTGACATTGATCACTTGGAAGGCCACTTTCTTCCTTTGATAACGTTTCAGGCTGCCTGGGTCTTTCACTGGATCTGCAAGTATGTACAGATGTCAATATTATTGTGTAATAAATTAGAATTTTATCAAATCAAATCTGATACTCAAATCCGTTTCATATTAAATTAATAAATCTTAAAATTATTCGACCTTTTTGGATGAGGTAAAAGAAGTATACTGCTCAGTATACAAATCAGATGATGCCCCAACCCCCCACAGAAATGTGTTAACAGATAGACTGCATATTCGGATATAATATAGGTTTGATAAAAAATATTACTTTATTTTGTTTTTGCAAAATAGTCAGGCTTAATCCCAGTTTGTTGTTTTTATAAAAAACAAATATATAGTGGGGAATGTTGATAAAAAATATTACTTTATGGTAAATTAAAATACCACATGAAATTTACCCTTTTGTTACACCAAAGTTTCCTGTTGATCCCTTGAGAGAGAGGTACAAGAAGGATACTATCATCGAATTCGATGTATGTTGGGTAGAAATACTACAATGTGCAGGGATTGTATTAAAACGTTTTGTTGCTTTAAAAATTAGCCACTCATTTGCAAACTTTCTGAGAGGTACTTGGGGGTCTTAAACTTATATTTCGTTGACCCGACTTATAAACGTGGCCTAATTAACCTTAGATTAGGTTTAAAAAGGGGTAGTACCATCTCCCTTGCGGTTAAGTTTTAATTTAGATGCTCGAATTTTGCTTCTTTACAACCCGACCATTTTTTTCTTCTCTCTCTGAGGCTGACATATTAGTTTTTCCTAATTAATAGCTTCCTAAAAATCCATTTCATCTTTGTTTTTCTTCTTTTAGCATTTATTAAGAGATCTTTGAGAAAAATTAAACTTATACACAAAATTAATTAAAACTAACAGAAGAAAATAAAATAAAACTTACCCTAAATATTTGCGATGTTCTCTCGAAGGATGTAAATTTTCACAAAATCTTTTTGAATCCACTCTTTCTTCGACAACATTATGATTTCTTTCCCCAGATGCATGTCTATGAGAAGAACGTGTGTGTTCCATATCCCGTCTATGTTCCGATTTATGTTTTCTTCCTCCCGAATTGTCACGGTGATGATGGGAACGTTTGTTGTAATCCCTGGATTCTGGTCTTCTCATCGATGGTGAATAATGTGCTTTTCTGTCTCGTTCATCTTTGTGGTGCTGCTGATGATGATGATATCTTTCCCTGGGTTTTTCTTTATGACGTCCTGGACTTTCATTTGCCCTGTAATTCCTATTTCTATGCATATCATTTTGATATTCATAATTTCTATTAGGTTTCCCATCAACAGGACTTGTTGTGTCTCTCGAATCATGATGATGCCTTTTATTGGACTTATCATCAGTCTTTGGATTTCTGGCAGGTTGCTTTTCATCAGCATCGCCTTCAGCTGCAGGATATTTTGAAGATTCACTATGATCTGCTGCATTTACATTTTCTTCTTCTGTATATGCTGCTGGTCGTTTGGAAGGTGGCGCTCTTCTTCTAAAACAGATATCATCTTTCCTGTAATAATAAAGTAAATAATTAATTTAATCATTTCTCTATGTTCTGCTTGCTATGCCGCTTACTCTTTTCTTAGCCTTTCAATCTCGGCATCTTTGCGCTTAATTTCACAGCGTGCCGTATCCAATAAACATTGAAAACTTAATTCGATACGTTGTAGTTTTTTCGATAAACTTTTGTTTTCCGCTTCCAGTTGTTCTATTGTTTGCAGAGCCTTTTGATATTTGTCGTCAGCTTCTTGTAATTCTTTGGATTTCTAAGAATTTTTATAAAAACAAAAACGCAGAATTAATTACATTTGCAAGCATAGGAATTCATTTTGTTGTTTGTCACAATATTTACTTGTTCTTGTTGCTGCTGGAATTCATCCAGATCTTCGTATAAGTCGATATCATCCATATTTATTTGTTAATTTGTAATATATTACACGCAACTTGTATATTAAATTCCTTTTTCCTTTATTTATATCATTGCTAAAAAGCCAAACAATTTGTGTGTGTTTTTGTCTGCTAAACCCTATTTTGGCAGACATCAGGCAAAGACAAATTCAATCATGTTCAAAAACGTTCCCATAGCAAGTGGAACGTTTTTAAATATAACAGGAGAGAATGGAAAGTACAAAAACAATGTAAAACTAAATTGTTGTTATTCCTTTCTTTATTTGCCATACGCATTGCGCCAATGTCACAGCTACACTCATCAGCAACATATGAGACAGAGAAAATGGCGCGAAAATACTGTTTGAAATGACAGTCGGGCAGTCACAGCTGGCATTTGTTGTTTACGCTGCAATTGGCTTGTTTTTTGCAACAGTTTAGTTTATTTCGCAAGGAGTTAATAAACTTTAATTAGAATTTTGCCGATTTAGCAAAAAATAAAACAATAAATTAAATAAAAACATTATAGCCGAGTTGAACAGATGCCAGTCAGCAAATAGGGAGCATTATGGATTCAACTATATCGGTGTCAAAAGTAAGTTGCGGGAAATCAATTAAAAAAAAATTAAATATTAAACATATTTTAATATAAATAATTATGAATATTCTGAGATATGTGCCTTCAAAGATCCACGAGGACCCCAATATTTTTTTATAATTTAATTTGAAGTGTTTTAAAACTCGAATTTTCTGTCCGTATATCCTGCTGGATAACTCACAAAGGGGTTAACCGATTTTATGCCAATTTTGTATATTGTAATATTTCTTTAAAAACTCATAAGTAAACAATTTCTGTTTCTTTTTTCATTACAGGGATGCTTCGTCTTCAAAAATGGAGCCACCCGAGCTGATAAAACTAAAAAGGCGACCAAACGTAAAAAGGCAACCGCCCATCAAACTGGCATTTTGGGCAAAGAAATAACAGATCAACCATTCTACACGGTATACTCCGACACATGGAATAAAATACAAAGCCACATTGATACCCTGCAAAAGGAGAGCAGTGGTAAAATATTACAAGAATTGGTCGACTATGTGGTGCAACAAAGTAAAAATGATGAAAATTATTTGGGTCTTGATGAAATTGTACCAGCTGCCGCCCTATTAACGGGTATAAATCAACCAGATCATTTGGAACAATTTGATAATCTTGCCCAGCGTATTAATGAACAAATTTCGGCCAGTATTTGTCTTTTGCAATCTCGTGATTGTTCCACCCTAAAATCCGCTGTGGAAACCATGGTCTATAATTTCATTGAAGCTCCGCATGAAGATGATGAGGATCGTGATCATAAGCGATTGCGTAAAACACAGTGCACCATGAAACAATTAAAGACATGGTATCGTAGCAATTGGCCCGATGAGGCAGAGAAATCCGAGCAAACAAATGCGGATGAGGCGAGCAGTGAAACGGATGCAAGTAGCATTGTTTCGGCGGGGAAAGTCAGAGATTCCCGTCACATGTTAATTGTTATTTTGCCCGATTTTGAATGTTTCAATTCAGCCATATTGCAGGATATTATTTTGATACTTAGCTCAAATTGTGCTGAGTTACCGTTTATGTTAATTTTGGGTATTGCCACATCTATTGCAGCGGTACACAATGCATTGCCCTATCATGTTACATCGAAAATTAAATTGCGTATGTTTAAGACCCAATCGGCGCCAGTGGGTCTGAATGAGGTAAATTTGGATTTGGAATGGGCATTTTTGTAAAATTTAGAATAAGAAAGTAAATTAATATAAAACCTGGATTCATCTCGGGAAATTAGACAAAAAATGGACTTGAACGGAAAATGTTGTTTCATATAAAAGGCCCGTTCGTCTTTAAAATTTGGCTTTAACTTTTTGTTCATTTCGAATCCAATCCCTACATTTACCTTTTTATAATTATATATTTTTATTCCCTTATTGTAGATTCTAGAAAAGGTTATATTATCCCCCAATTACGCCTTTCACCTTTCCGGCAAGGCCTTTAAATTTCTAACACATATTTTCCTGTACTATGATTTTTCCATAAATGGTTTCATACAAGGATTCAAGGTAAGTGTGAAATCCCACATATCACATCCCTTTGTAGTATCTTATCCTTAACCCATCTTTCATTGCAGTACTGTTTGATGGAACATTTCTTCCAAGGCAATGCCTATGGCTTGTGCTGTAACTATTCCACTTCGTTGACCAAAATTAAAGCTTTGACCCACGATGATATGGAAATTATACGCAAACAGTTGTCTTTTCGTCCCTATGTGGAAAGTATTAACGACTGCAAACGTATCATTGCCATACTAACCGATGATGATTATCTAAAAAAGAAATTACCCAGCCTGCTAAAGGATTGCCACATCTATTTTCTGTTGTATCGCATCTTTTTGGAATTCCTCACCGTTTTGGTTGAGGATCTACCCAAATGTCCGTTGGGTAAATTTCGCCGTGAATTGTATGCCTCCTGCTTGGCCAAAGATATTTGCTCCCAGCCGGAATATCGAGAATGTTGGCAAATATTGGCTTTTATGTCCAAAGATGAATTTGTAGCGAAAATTTCCAAGGCCATTGAACAAACTCAGGATTTCTATGAACAGGAAATATATGAAAAATTAGAATTGTATGGGGAATGTGAAGAGATTGTCATTACCAAATTGCATGCCGTAAAAGAATTGCTTACCAAGGTGGTAATGGCCGGTATGGATGCCACAAAGTCACAGCAACAACAAACAACCGTAACATCACCGGAAGAATTAAAACAAGTATCATCACGGCAGGACCTGAAAGATAAGCTATTGCAAATGTCCAAGGAACAAAAACCGATATCAGAATTCGCTAAATCTGTGCAAGAGACTTTGGATTATATTGAAAAAGAAATTGTGGCCGAACATTTGGGTCCTCTGCAAAAGGCTCCTGCACTGCATGAATTGTTTGTTTTCTCCGATATTACCACGGTGAAGAGGAATATTATTGGTGCACCACGTGCTGCCCTGCACATGGCCCTTAACAATCCGCACTTTTATTTGCAATGTAAATGTTGTAATCTTCGTGAAAATACCCAGCTACTGCCATCACTGCCAGATATTTCGGTAATGTATAAGCTGCATTTGGAATGTGGCCGCATGATAAATTTGTATGATTGGCTGCAGGCATTTCGTTCGGTTGTTGATTTTACCGAAGATGATCAGGAACAAATTGATCCGCAGATACAGTAAGTTTTATATAAATAACTTTTGGATTTAATTTTTTTTATTTTGTTTTTCTTCTTTCTCTATTTTTTAGGGCCCGTTTCACCCGTGCCGTGGCCGAGTTACAATTTTTGGGTTATATTAAAATGTCGAAACGCAAAACAGATCATGCAACGCGTCTAACTTGGTAATGTGTGTTAATGTTGTGAATGATTTTTGTTAATTATTTTTTTGATTTATTTATGTAATTCGATTTAAAAAAAAGTAAATAAATGAAAATATTTAAAATAAAACTCATTTATGTTTTTTGTTTACAATAAAATTGCATTTGTTTATTTGTTGTTTTTAAACTTAACTACAACTACTTTATTTTTGTTTTAATTTCTGTTTTTTTATGTAAATGTCACTCCTGTTTTTGTTCCAGATTTAAATGTCTTATTATTTTTTTAAATATTCTTGTTTTCTTATGTGTTGTTTAAATGTGGTGGTTGGGTGTATTATTAAAAAAACTGTTATATATATGTGTGTGTTTAAGTGTGAGTTTCTTTTTTTCGTTATCAATGGCAAAGGTATAAAAAATATTATTTGTTTTTTATTATTATCCAATTATTTTAAATATTTTTTTTATTTATATAACATTATTTTCCTTTTTTACTTTATTTAGTACTATATAAATATATATAAATGTGTATATATGTTTTTTATTAATTTATTTTTGGGTTTATATAATATAATTAATAATGAGACATAGTTTTTTGTATTGCTTTGTTTTGAAAAATTAGAGTTGATAATGGCATTTTTGAAAAAAATAGTTAATTTAATTTCTTGTTTTTTTTATTATTTGGCAGGCATTAATTTTTATAAGGTTCGCTTTTTTGTAATTAAAATATATTTTTTATGTTTACAACTAAAAGGATTCGAATATATTTTGTTGAGCTGATATGATTTATATATATAAAAAAGGTATCTAATAAATTTCTAAAAAAAATTATGTGATTGCTTATATTAAATTTTATAAATTGTATAAAAAAAGTTTATTTTTTATGTAAAGCTTTTAATATTATTAATGTTGTTTTTTTTAATTATTTTTTATTATGAGCACAGTGTTTGTTTGTTGAAGGCATGGTCTATTAATTTGCAAACCCATTGCAAAACAGAAAGAAAAAAATTGAGAGATCGAAGGAGATTCAAATAGATTGGAAAACTAAAAAATTCTGATGGCCTTTAAAACAAATTTAAAGGGGAATTTTTCACAAAATACAAAAATAGAGAAAGGGAAAATTTTTAGTCTCTCTCTTTCTCTTTATTTCGTATTTGTTATTTAAAAATAAAAATAGGAAACATTTTAAAAATTCTAAAGAAAATTGTTTTGGCTACCTGTTTTCAAATTTTAATTATTAGAAACAAAGAGAACTTGAACGTACTTCTGTATTAGCAGCAGAGATAAACAAAAGATTTTCACTTAAACAAAAATTGTTTGTTCGTCGTTTACTTGGGCATTATTATCGGCGATCCCACGCACTCACGTAGGCAGTACACTTGTCGCCACCACCAACCTGCCTGCCTTCGCCACCACATATACTACTTTCTTTCACACAACAACAACAAACAACATCATGATTACCATCAGCACCACCACCACCAAACGTTTATAACAATGGCAACAATGACAACGTTCGATGACATATTAGGAAGTTCTTTTTTGTCAGGGGAGGAGGGGGAAATTGTTGCTGGTTCGGTTTTCTGCATTACGTCCGTTCTTCCAATCTTCATTTGTTGTTGCTGCTGGTCGTTCTTCAATGCTCATCGTCGGTGTTTTGTTTTGTTGTTTTTTTTTTAACATTAAATTTTAATTAAATTATTATTAATATTCTGTTGACGTTTACGTTTGGCATTCATTGCATCGACAATGGGTTGGCGCTTGGCATTATATTTCTTGTTGAGTTCTTCAATTTCTTTTTCCATTTCCGAATCGATATTATTGAGACGTTGATTTAAATCGTCAAATGTTAGGAATTTCAAAAATTCAAATTCTCCATCCACATAGGAGTGAGATGAACTGTGCAGATGATGGTGATGTTGGCTGGGTTGGGGTTGTTGTTGCTGTTGTTGGGAATAGGCAGGTGGTGGTGCTTGCACATACTGTTGCTGCTGATTTAAAGCTAATAAATGTTGCTGCTGCTGTTCGCCTAACAATGGATTACAACCATAATAGGCAGCAGCAGCTGCTGCCTGTTGTTGTTGCTGTTGCATTTGTTGTAAATGTTGCTGATGTTGTTGCAATCCATATTGATTGATGGCCGAGATTTGTTGAAACTGTTTCTCCATGTTATTTTCCCAATTGGTATCATTGGAATTGGCATTCGATAGCGGTGTATGTTGCTGCTGATGGGACTGAGGTTGATTGTGGTTATTTGAATTGAGTTGATGTGAGGCCACTGCAGCCAAGGCTGCTGCAGCAGCCGGTGAATATTCCGAGGATTTATCCTCGGTCGTTGAACGCTGCTGAATTTCGGGATTTTTGCGTTCGAAATGATCAAGGAACTGTGGGCGATAACGTGGCTTATTGCAATCATTGCGCTTGGCTGTTGAAGAATCATCTGAATCGGAGTTTATTACCATGGTACCTGTACAAAAAAATCATAAAATTTTTTTCAAGTAGTTTCTTTTGTATGAAACATTAAAAAAACTCACCTAAATTCGATTCCAATTCCACCATAGTACCACTATCCACAGCCGTCATCATATCTCCGGTATCTTGCGATTTATTCGCCGCCATGCCTCCCTTGCCCGGACACAATGTCCCCATATCTTCCGTGTGCGCAATCATTGTGGCATCCGATGCATTTGATGTCTGTTGATATTCACCAAATTTCTCCGGCACCAAGGTACCGGGATCATCGATAAATGTTTTAACCGTTTCCACGGGGAAATCACCATGCTGCTGCTCCTCGGCCTCGGCCAGTATATCATCCTGTTGGGTGGCCAAACTTTTCGCCTGGCTCATACCCTGCACCGAACCACCCGAAGCCTTCGAATTCCGTTGTTGTTCCCTTATGGCACATGTCTCCTCGATCATTGGCTTGAGAATGCTGCGATGTTTGGCATTGCGTATAAATTCATGCTCCAACAAATCGGAGGCTGTGGCACGTTCTTCGGGATTTTTCACCAGACAAAGACTGACAAAGTCAATAAATTCGGTACTCCAACGATCGGGTTCACGGAAGGATGGTGGGGGTTTTTGTGGTATCATAAATATGGCACGCATTGGATGGATATCACCATATGGTGGTTTGCCCTCGGCCATTTCCAAGGCCGTAATACCCAGCGACCAAATATCGGCCACACAATCATAGCCAATTTCTTCAATTACCTCGGGAGCCATCCAGAAGGGAGTGCCAATAACGGTATTACGTTTGGCCATGGTATCTGTCAACTGGCCGGCCACACCGAAATCAGCCAATTTTGCATAACCCTCCGTATTCAATAGAATATTTCCGGCTTTAATGTCACGATGTATCTTTCGTCGCAAATGCAAATACACCAAACCCTTCAAGGTATCCGACAAAATAGTCGAGATCTCATCTTCCGTCAACGTTTTCTTACGTAGCCTCATTATATCGGAAACACTTCCAGCACCACAATATTCCATACAAATCCACAAATCGTATTGTTTGAAATATGAACCATAATAACGCACCACATAGGGAGAATCACATTGTTGCATGATCGAAATCTCTTTGATTATATCGTGCAGATCCGATTCGACGGGCACCAATTTGATGGCCACAATGCTGCTGCTCTCTTTATGCAGGGCCTTGTAGACGGAGCCATAACTGCCTTCGCCCAATTTACATATAATATCGAAAACTTTTTCCGGTGGTTGTAGCAATGACTCCTCGGACAGCTTTTTCAGTTCACTTTTATTGGAAGACATTTTGTTGCATTACTGTGATCTGACTGGCGTTCAATTTTGTTCTCTTTTCAATCGTAGAAAATATTCTATAGAATTGTTGTCCCTTTTTTGAAGCAGCACCTGCCAAGTTCTTTTGTTTTCCCCCAAACTTACAATTGTCTGTGAACATATGCCAAAGGAAATAATAAAACACTCAATTATTCTCTCCAAGTATCCTCAAAATTACCGCAAACTATTTTTATATAGAAGTTTCTAATTCTTCTTTTGTATAATGTTTCGTGGATTTTCTGATTCTTTTTTCTTCTATCAAACAAAAGAAAAAATGCTTCAAATGTCAAAGATTTGAAGGAATGTCACCTGCTATGCCGAGAGAAAGATTTAGTGTGAGAGAGAGAGAGTACACAACATATGATGATTAGTGGGGAGATGCGCGTACGTTACGTTGAAGAAGTTGTTGTTTTGTTTATTGTTTGTTTTAAATTAATTTAATAACTTCATTAATCATTTAATTATAATTAAGTAATTGTTATTTAATACTTAAACAATTTATTTATTAAATCAATGTTATAGCAACACTAGACCGTTACTTCTTTGTCTTCCACTCTCCCTCGTTGACTAATTACTCTTGACAAGTATGCCGGTAGAGCACCATATGGTAACATCAATCATAACAATGTTATCGATAACAATACACAATCGATAGTAGGTCGGATTTTGACAGCCAATCATAATATTTTGATTGGATAATTTTAAGACGAGAAAAAATTCATTAAAATGTTATTAACTTTCAAAGTTTTAACAAAATCTCAGACGCTACGACTAACGACATGTTCACTATTGAACGGTAAAGCTTTAAATCTCCCATTATCAACCCGGTTCCCTCGTCATTTGTCCACAAACACAATTGCCGCCGAACAAAATCGTATTGATATAAATGGTGCCTCATTTGTTGTGGACAACTGGACCAATGTTACACCTAAGATACTCTCGTATGTGGGCATGCAAAAACACCTGCAAACAAATCATCCACTCTCCATCATCCGACAGCGTATTGTCAACTACTTCTATAAATCCTATAAGACATCCCGAGGAAATCCTTTATTTTCCGTCTATGACAAACTGAACCCGGTGGTAACGGTTCAACAAAATTTCGACAATCTGCTGATACCAGTGGATCATGTAAGTCGTAACAAATCGGATTGTTATTATATAAATAAAAAATATTTGTTACGAGCCCATACCACAGCTCATCAGGTGGATTTGATATCAAGTGGTTTGGATAATTTTCTGGTTGTTGGTGAGGTATATCGAAGGGATGAAATTGACAGTACCCACTATCCGGTATTCCACCAACTGGATGCTGTACGTTTGGTAACGAAAGATAAGCTGTTTGAGCGCAACCCCGACTTGGAAATATTTGAAAATGAATGGCGTGAAATTGAGGGAGGCAACAAACAGCAGCAGCTGATACATTCATCTTCCAAATGTTTGGATCAATCCAAACAGCCCTGTCACACATTGGAAGCTGTCAAGCTAATGGAACATGAATTGAAACAGATACTGCTGGGATTGGCCCAAGATTTATTTGGTTCAAATATTCAATATCGCTGGGTCGATACATATTTCCCCTTCACTCAGCCCTCCTGGGAATTGGAAATATTCTATAAAGATAATTGGTTGGAGGTGTTGGGTTGTGGCATTATGAGACATGAAATTTTACAGCAGTCGGGTGCGCACAACTCGATTGGTTATGCCTTTGGTTTGGGTTTAGAACGTTTGGCCATGGTACTGTTCGATATACCCGATATCCGTCTGTTTTGGTCAAATGACAGCGGCTTTTTGTCACAATTTAGTGAAAAGGATTTATATAAATTGCCAAAATACAAACCTGTATCCATGTATCCTCAATGTAAAAATGATTTATCATTTTGGTTACCGTCGGGAGTGGATGTTGATGCCGGATTTGTGCCAAATGATTTCTATGATTTGGTACGTTCAGAGGCGGGAGATGTTGTGGAGCAGGTCTGTATAATAATAATATTTTTTAAAAATAATAATAATAATGTATGTTTTTTTCTTACAGATCAGTTTGGTTGACAAATTCAAACATCCCAAAAAGGGCCTAACCAGTGTCTGCTTTAGAATTGTCTATCGCCACATGGAACGTACCTTAACCCAGGCCGAGGTCAATGAAATCCATAAACGTATTGCTGATGCTTGTGTTAAAAATTTCAATGTAGTTATACGTTAATTATTTTGTTATAATTTATTTGAAAATAAATTTTTATTGTTAGTAAAGGATTTGATTACAAAATTTTCATACAAGTTGTCCGCTTGGTACGAAAAGTTTGCACAGCGTAACGAATTGAGACTAGAATCAGGTGTATTAATTTTCATTGAAATCGAAACAGGTTTAGTTATAGCTCCCATATATATTTTCCTACGATTTCATGTAATTTGAGCACCAAATTCCCAAAGTTTGTCCGCTTGGTACGAAATTTAGCACAGTATTCCGAATTGAACCTAGAGTGTCAGGTATTAAGTTTTATTGAAATCGTTTCAGATTTACATATAGCTCTCATATATATTTCATCCGATTTTTTGTAAATTGGGCACCAAATATTTACAGTTTATCCGATTGTGATGAAATTTTGCACAGCTTACCGAATTGGGCATAAAATGACTGAAATTTAATTTTATAGAAATCGGTTTAGATTTTGCTATAGCTCCCATATACATATTTGACCGAATTCATGCAAATTGTACACCCAATAGCCCAGGTTGGTCCGATTGTGATGAAATGTTACACATTGTGCGGATTTAAGCATAGAATGCTGTGTATAAAATGTTATTAAAATCGGTTCAGTTTTCGATATAGCGTCTATATAAATTTTCCTCCGATTTTGTGCAAATTTGACACCATATACCCCCAGTTTGTCCGATTAAGACGAAATTTTGCACAGCTAACAGAATGAAGTTTAAAATGTAATGTATTAAGTTTTATTGGAATCGAATCAGATTTTGCTACAGCTCCCATATATATTTTCGACCGATTTCATGCAAATTGTAGCCCAAGATGGTCCGATTTTGATGAAATTTTGCACAGTGTACCGTATTGAGCCTAGAATGTCGCGCAATAAATTTTATTAAAATCGTTTCAGTTTTCGATATAGCTCCTATATATATTTTCTTCCGATTTTGTGCAAATTTGGCACCAAATACCCACAGTTTGTCCGATTAAGACGAATTTTTGTACAATGTACTGTATTGAGCCTAGAATATCATGTATTAAGTTTTATTGAAATAGTTTCAGATTTCGTTATATAGCTCTCATATATTTTTTTCGTCCGATTTTTTTGTAAATTGGTCACCAAATAACCACAGTTGTTCCGTTGGTGTTGGAATTTTGCCCAGTGCACCGATTTAAGCCTAGGTAATCGGTTCAGAGTTAGATATAACTTACATGTATATATTTTTTATAGGTTAGAATGAAAAGAGGGGATCATACCTCTGGTATTTAGCAAAAGGGTGGTGTAGGGTATCATACCGATTGACTTCTGGGTTCATATTTGTTTTAAAAATTACTTGCTGTTGTTTAAGCAAAGTGAACTAGCGGAACTAAGGCCATCCGATTAACGAATGAGTGGTGTAAAATCGTTCCGATTGTTCATTTCACGAAGTAGTTCAATTTGTATTGTATCGTTTGCCGACAGACCATCTCTATCCCCCACAATTCTTGCTTGCATACACTGCTGCAATAGTTGCAATTGGGTGTTTTGGCTAGACAGGAAGAATATACCAATCGGTTCTTTTGTAAGGCTCGTGTGCGAAAAGAAGTAACCAAGAGACAGAGAGACAACGCAAAAAACAAAAACCTGAACATACGATATTATTAATAAATACAAAATCCAATTAAAAGGAAACGAGGAGGAGGAAATAATCAATAATCCAAACGAATCGGACGATCGTCGGATAGCAGCCCCCCTTTAAAAGAAGAAAAAAAACAAGGAAAACACGTAAGTCTTCCAAAGTTTGTTGGTGTGTTTGTTGCTTTTGTGCGAATGGTGTTGTTTTTTTGTTTTTAATTGTTGTTGTTTTTCTAATTTTTATTATAGAGTATATAAATAATGTAATATATAGTGTTGAGATATTATTTATTGGACAAATGCGTTGTTGTGGTTATCAAAATTTTATGAGTTCCTGCCGCTGTTGGTGTCTGTCTATAAGCTATACATTTATTTTTCCCCCGACCAAAGTTCATTGTCTATTTTTTAACTGCATCCATAATATATCTATCTTTGTCCTCGTCCCGACCACTTATGTCTTATGGGCTTTTTATTAAACCTCCAATTACACATTTTTTTTATTTTCTGCCACCGCCAGGGTACAAAGTCTCTTTATGCACGATTGTCTTTTTTGTTGTTGTATTTTGTTATATATATTTATATATACATATATAAATTCGTATGTAGAGTATGTATTAGATTTATTTAAATCAATGCATGTAGCCGTGGTAGTTAGCTGGCTAGCTATGTATGTATGTAAATGGTGCTACCGCTGCCACAGTTGAATTATTTCTTTATGCGTGAGTGAGGGAGGAGGGGGGCGGAGGAAGTGAGCGGTGGAGTTATGCATGGGGTAAAAAATATTGTCAATGCAACACGAACGAAACCAATTTATTGCCAATTAAGCATAAGGTTTTTTAATTGTCTCTGTCTCTGGTCATGGGTTATTAAAAAAAAGTCCGTAAGAAAGGATCAAAGTCGAATGGTTCCGACCGACTCTATCACAAACTACAACTCTTTGGCTAATATACAAAAAGGTGATCCTTAAATTCGTATTGAATACTGATTTAAAGCCAGATTAAAAAATGAGGCTCTCGAATAATTTTAAAACCTGTCGATGGAACAGACATAGTGTCTTTATTCAATAAAAACGATTTGAACAAAACTTAACTTTCATGTCATTCTAGGCTCAATTCGATAAACTGTACAAAATTTCATCGCAATCAGACAAACTGTGGTAATCTGTGGTGCCCAATTGAAAAAATCGGACGAAAATATAAATGGGAGCTCTACGAAAATCTGAACCGATTTCAATAAAAATATATATAGGAGGTATATATAAAACTGAAACGATTTTAATAGAATTTATTACATTTCATTTTAGGCTCATTTCGGTAAACTTTGCAAAATTTCATCACAATCGGACAAACTTTGGATATTTAGGTGTACAATTTGCAAAATATAGCAAAATCTAAACCGATTTCAATAAAACTAAATATCAAACATTCTTAGCTCAATTCGGTAAGCTGGGCAAAATTTCACCACAATATGACAAACTTTGGATATTTGGTGGAGCTATATCGAAAACTAAACCGATTTCAATGAAACTGTATACTCGTCATTCTAGCCTCATTTCGCTAAGTTGTACTAAATTTTGTCTCAATCGGACAAACTTCGGACGAAAATATATATAGGGGAGCTATATATCCGATTTTAATAAAACTTTACAAACTTCACTCTGTCCTTAATTTAGTACAATGTACAACATTTCATCTCAATTGGACAAACCCTGGGAGTTTGGTGCGTCATTTCCATTAAATCGGACGTAAATATATATGGGATTTATATCCAAATCTGAAGCGATTTCAATTAAACTTAATACACGCCATTCCATTCACACTTCGTTAAGCTGTGCAAAATGTTGTCTTAACTTGAGCCAAAATAATCTATTGTGCCAAAATTTTATTTGCACGACCTGTTCTCGGCTTGAAAACATGGCCATTCGTATGTTCGGACCTACTGACCTGCATAAGTCGTATTAGAAAGTGCTATTATGTATATTCTCAGATATATAACCGGGCTTACCTTGTTGTTCCCTAAAGACATAATACCCTCCCTGTGTAGTGTATAACAAAAAAGGGGTTTAATATTTGTTTTATCTCCCCCTCTTTATTTCTCTCTAATTTCCCATTTGCTCGAATACTAATACCTTAATTTTTTTGTTTCTTTTTCTTTTGTTTAATATGTATACCTTCTAAGCATAATTATTTTTCCGACCGGTTAGATTTAAAAAATCCAATTTAATTTTTTTACCGTTTTCAGTTGAACACGACGACGATGACTTCTTTATCCCGTCTAGCCATTAATTCGGCACCGGCTCGTATGTCTTTTGTTAGGACAGCGACTTCGCATGTCGTCAACCACAACAACAACAAGAACTGCACTGTAGTGCAAAATTCGATAACTAAATTCAAGATGCAACGTTATGCTGCAATAGGTAATTGAATAGTGTCACCACCGATTTGCGAGATAAAACTACTGCACTGGGTTCCAAATTTGTATTTAATTCTTTCTGGGTTTTGAAATTAAAAAAAAATTATCTCGTATATTAGTAATAGTTATTATGATTAGTTTAATATAAGATTGGACTGTTGGATATGTATGTATGTATTTCTTTCAAAGAATTTGGGAGCCTTGAAGTGCCCCTTTTCCTAAGCTCAGTTCACATATCACACTGTCTATCATATGGTGTAACTGTGTGTGTGTTTTTTAAATCAAAATTCATCTTTGATAATAAGAAAATCCCCGAAAAAAAATTCCAAAAGAAAATCCCTGGCCCCTTTTCAAAATAATATTTGCCAGAGTTCTTTTTTTTTTGTTATCAAAGTAAATTTTTCTTTCCCGCACACACTCGGTACATCAATAATAAGAATAATAATAATATATGAATTGTTATTAATAAATTTAATTTTTATTATATACACACACACGACAAGGTCCGATGACATCAAGCTTGTTGCTGCCAGCATCAAACCATTCACAACAACAACTCAGTCGCAATTTTTCAAGCCTCAATATGCCATTGCAGACTCAAATATCGAGACTCGTGCATCATGTAAGCAAACTTTACCTTACAACTTTCTTATTTTATATACATATATATGTACATAAATATGTAAATTTCTAGTCGGGTAACACAAACACTGTGAACTGTGAAAGGTTTCACGGTAATTTAGTCATGGAAGCGGGTTTCAAAATTTGTTAAATTTTCTTTTTTATTAGTAATTAAAATATCCCCGCCTGTACAAACCTCCCAACCTCCTCCCTCAATTAGCTTACAATTATTATATTATTAATCTATGAATATTTTTTTATAGTGAACTGTATATTTATTTTTTTGTTTTTTCATATCAGATAATTTGTATTTTTTGTTAATTCAACCGGCACAATTTTGTATATATATATATATATATGTAAATCTTAGCGATTATCACCCATCTAATATATGTTTGCACTTTGAAACTCATTATAGAAGATGAAAAAAAAATTCACATTTCTTTTTTTGTTGACATGACGTGAATGATGTTGTCAAAAATACCACAGCTGCTTATATTGATGCGGAACAATAGTATAGATTATTTGTTTAAAATAATATTCAACATATTCAGATTAAACCAGTAAAGAAAATAGCAAAATATTGAACGAGGAGGGTACATATATACAAGAGATGCTCCATAGATGCTAATATAAACTACAGTAGTAATATATGTTCCAATTTTATCTTCGCTGATGCGTTTGGTTCTATGTGATCGGAGAGATGTAACATTTTTGGGTTCACCAAAAAATCGGATGAATCTATTTTCACCCATTATCTAAATGAGACAATGTTTTTCCGATTGCAATGAAATTCTACACATCGTACCAAAATGAGTCTAGAACGATATGTGTTAAGTTTCGTTGAAATCGGTTCCGATTTAGATATAGCTCCCATATATATTTGTGTACGATTTTATGTAAATCGTGCACCAAACGCCCAAGGTTTTGTTCGATTGCGACAACATTTAGCATAGCGTACTGAATTTAGCATTAGCGTACTAGAATGATATGTGTTAAGATTCGTTGAAATCGGTTCAGTTTTCGGTGTAGCTCTCATATATATTTTCCTCCGATCTTGTGTAAATTTGGCCCAAATAACCAGAGTTTGTCCGATTAATATGAAATTCTGTACAGTGTACTGCATTGAACCTAGAATATCATGAACTTAGTTTTATTGAAATTGATTCAGATTTTGATGTAGCTTCCATATATATTTTCCTCCGATCTTGTGTAAATTTGACACCAAAGTAGCCAAAGTCAGACCGAATGTGATGAAATTTTGCACAGTGTATCGAATTTAGCATAGAATGACGAGTAATAAATTTTATTAAAATCGGTTCAGATTTTGTTATATCTCCCATATATATTTTCCTCCGATTTTGTGTAAATTTGGCTCCAAATAACTACAGTTTGTCCGATTACGACGAAATTTTGCATATCGCATTAAAATATGCACAGATTGCCGTATGCCAAGTTTTGTTAAAATCGCTTCAGATTTTGATATAGCTCCCATATATATTTTCATCCGATTTTATGGAAATGGCACACCAAACTCGCAAGGTTTGTTCGATTGCGACAAAATGTTGCCTAGCGTTTCAAATTAAACACAGATTGATGTATATAAAATTTTGTGGAAATCGGTTGATATTTAGATATAGCTCCCATATATATATATATATATATTCTTCCGATTTTAAGGAAATTCACACCAAACTTCCAAGAACTAACTGATTGCGACAACATTTTTTAGAGCATATTGAATTGAGTATAGAATAAAGTGTATGTAGTAATAAAGTGTAAAGTGTTTCATTGAAATCGATTCATATATATTTGCTGCGATTTTTTGTAAAAGGTGCACCAAACGCCTAGGTATGTTCGATTGCAATGAAATTTTGCACAGCGCAGTAAATTAAGGACAGATTGACGTATACGAAATTTTGATGAAATCGGATAAGATATAGATATAGCTCCCCTATATACTATCGTCCGAAGTTTGTCCGATTGAGACGAAATTTTGCATAGCGTATTGTACAACGTCTATAATAATATGGGTTAAGTTTCATTGAAATCGTAACAGATTTACATATAGCTCCCATATGTATTTTCGTCAGATTTTCTATAAATGGCGCACCAAATCCCCAAAGTTTGTCCGATTGAGATGCAATTTTGCACAGCACACTAAATTAAGGACATGGAATGAAGTATGTCAAGTTTTGTTGAAATCGGATCAGATATAAATATAGCTCCCCTATATACTATCGTCCGAAGTTTGTCCGATTGAGACAAAATTTTGCTCAACCTACTGAATTAAGTCTAGAATGATGTGTGTTAAGTTTCATTGAAATCGGGTCAGATTTAGATATAGCTCCGATATATATTTGTTTCCGATTTTCTGCGCACTAAATTAAGGACAGAATGAATTATGTAAAGTTTTGTTGAATCGCTTCAGATTTTGATATAGCCCCCATATATATTTTGTTTTTCTTTCTTTACTGATTTTCAAATATATATTTCCAGTCCTGGCCACAAAAAAAAAAAAACATAAAAGACCCAACTTGTTGAGCTTTTACACAATTGTTTTTGTTCAGTTTTTTTTTTTGTAATACAAATGATGCCGTTCAATTAGTTTACTCTCAGGAAGAGATGTAAAACTGACTCTTCTTCTAAATTTGCTCTCTCATCTTAATAATGTTCTAAGAGAGAAAGACCGAGAGAATGAAAGTTAAGTCACGTTTTGTTGACAACAGAAAAAAATCATAATTCGAAATTCCAACAAATGGCAAATGAGATCGAGAGTAGAACCAAGGTTGGATTTGGATGAAAGTGTGGAGAGGGAGGGGGAGCTAGACCATCTTACTTGTGTCAGCGGTTTACAAAAATATCAAATTACCTTGCGCATATGACATGCTGTTTATTTCGTTTTTCTTTTTTGTTGTATAGACATCTGAAAATACAGGGTAATACATAATTAAATGTCTCAAGTAAAGCTAATTATAATAATTGCTATTATTTTGATTTTTCATTTATATTAATATTTTAATTAATATTCCAACAGAGTATTTAAAAGTTGCTTTTTTTAATGTCTAAAATACAGGGTAATACATAATTAACCTCTAAGTAAAGCTTATTATAATAATTTGGTATTATTTTGATTTTTTATTAATATTAATATTTTAATTAATATTCCTTGAGAGTATTTAACAGGTGTTTTTTCTTGTATGGACATCTAAAATACAGGGTAATACATAATTAAATGTCCCAAGTAAAGTTAGTTATAATAATTGGTATTATTTTGATTTTCAATTAATATTCCAATCGGGTATTGAACAGGTGTTGATTAAAAAATTCTTGGCAAAAGAGTGGTATTGGTTTCCTCCCTGTTTTTTTTTATTAGATACCCCACCTCACCCTCTTTCCGTTGAACATACAATTCTTTTTTTTTTGACAAACTACAAAAAAATAAACTATTTAATTGAGCCAATCGTCATGGGGTCGACCGCCCCCTCCCTTATTTTCTTTTTCACAATGTGCAGCCGCCCTCCTCTTAGTGTTCTGAGTCGGAATTACTACTACATGCCACCTTTTTTGTGGGTAATTTTTTTTTGCGAAGCTACGCTGATCATGCTGTAACTAATAGCCCACACAGTCAGTCAGCCAGCCAGTCAGTCAATTTTTTTGATGAGCAAAATTGCTAGCCCATTATTTATATAGTTTTCTCCAAGAATAGTTGTGATTTTTTTAGTATCTAAGTGGAATTGAATATTTTTTTTCAAAATTTTTTTTTTAAGAAGACAAAAAAAAAAACTCGAAATAATATTAAAAACTTATTAATAATGAAAGAATATATTTATATATGTATTGGCTTAGTGATTATTTATAAATTATATCAATTAATTAGAGGCATTTATTGTGTAAGTGTTGTTGTATTTTTTTATTTATTTATTTATTTTTTTTTTGTGAACTTTGACATCGTGGGTGCACCGAATGACTATCATTGGCCAATAATAATAACAATGAAAAAATATCATCAATAACAAACAGTTCGATTGGATAATCGCAAAAGATAAGCAGGCTTATCAGCAAAGAAAATTCAAAAAAAAAAAAATAGATTTTTTTACTCTTTCATATTCGATCAAGTCTGGGCCATTTGCCATAATTTTTTTTTTGTCATTATCTTTTGACTGTTATCAGTTTTCAAAACTACATTTATTTGTTGATCTCTAGTAGCTGAATTATTTTGTTGTGTTGTGCACCTGTGGCCTATGCAAAGGCAATTTATTGGAATTAGTAACAATTGAACAACAAAAGCAAACGAACCACCCGCCTTTCATCTCTCACTTTTCATTTCTCTTTTTTTCACAATTTCCAACGTAAATATCTTCAGTTGCATGGCTACATTAATTTTTCAAATTTTCTTTTCTTATTGCGTGTCTCGTTTTACTAATTTTTCTTTTCTTCTTTCCCCACCCCCCAATTTTTTTTTAGAACGCCATGGCGCCGTTAAAAAATCGGCGTTTTATTTCGTCGAAAGAAATAACCAAAAATATGACCCTCTATACAAATGAGCCGTTCAAAAGTGAGGTGGATAACAATTCTCTGGAGTAAGTGCCCGAAATCCCAAAATTTTCTTTTATTTATTAAAAAAAATCCCTTTTTTCAGATTCAAAAAACCCACCGGCAACCCCTTGGTCCTAATGATGGCCTGGCTAATGGCCAAACAAAAACACTTAAAAAAATATGCCGAAGTCTATACGGAATTGGGTTTCGATGTTATGGTCGTACACATAACACCCTGGCAATTGTTGTGGCCCGTCAAAGGTACCCAAGTGGTGGCTTCCGAAACCATTAAATTTTTGGAAAACAACAAATCGTATGCCCCGATTGTGGTGCATGGCTTCTCCGTGGGCGCCTATCAAATGGGTGAAATAATGTTGCAAATGTCACGCGACATGGAACGTTATAAGCAAATTTTGGATCGCATTGTCTGTCAGATATGGGATAGTGCTGCCGATATAACGGAAATTCCGGTGGGTGTACCCAAGTCCATATTTCCGAAAAATCAAAGCATGCAAAATGCCCTTAGAAACTATACCCTGTGAGTATGAAGAGAGATAAAGCAAATTAGAAACTCGGAATTATTTAAAAAATATTAGATAAAAAAAAATTAAAAATCCGGGCGTAGATATTTTGTTTGGCAAAATTTTTTATATATAATTTTTTTTTAAATATTTTTTTTTAATTTTTTTATTTTTTTTTAATCCGGTCGTAGATATTTATACTTTGCAATTATTTTCATAAATCTAATAACCAATTTTTTCTTTCCCTCCCCCTCCCAGCTACCACTTGAAAACATTCCACAATCAAGCCACCATACATTATATGCGTTCCAGTCAAATGTTCCATTCGACCATCTTAAAACAACCTGCCCTGTTCTTTGTTTCCGATAATGATCCCATCGGTCCGCCAGCATCGAATCAGGCGGTGCGTGAAAATTGGGAGCGGGCCAATATCAAGGTGACATTTAAATGTTGGAAAAAGTCACAACATGCTGCCCACATGATCAAACATCGCGATGAATATTTGGACATACTGTACAAGCACTTGGAGGAATGTGGTGTTCTAGAGGCTATTGGTGTCAAGACCAGAGCTAAGTTGTAAAATTGCAATTTTTAAACATGATGTTGTGTCGTCGTCGTGCATCGTCGTTTATGTGTTTAAATTCCTTTATTTTTTGTTCTTAGTTACCATATTTGAAACGAGCGAATTTTTAATTTTTATTAATAATTGTTAATTCTTCTTTAGGAAGCTAAAACACCCCCCAAAATTTGTAATACAAAAAAAAAAACAAGTACATTTAAAAAAAGTATTTCCACTTATGAATGTTTTCTCAAAGATCGGCCTTTTTTCCCAAGACGAAAAAAGGAAATGTCTGTTTTGAAATGATATTGTATTATTAAGCTAATAATATATAAAATAAAAAATAACTTTTATTTGTGTTTGATGATTTTGTGCACTTCTTTTGAAGAGATATTTAAAAAAATAATATACCAACAAAAGTTTTTAAAAAACATAAATGTGTATTTTTAATTTATTGTTAACAATGTTCAAGTAGAAATGCCAACTGTCTCAGCATAAAAAGAAAAAAAATTAATTGGCAAAATTACAAAGATTTATTTATATATTGTTTTGGGAAATTGTGTGCAGTAGACAAGATGGCCTTTGTGCGTCACGTTGAGGGAACGCAATACAAAGAACAAAAACATGTCCCTCAAATAACCATAGAATTAAAGGTGATTTAATAGACCTGGCGAAATTGGCCAAATTCTTACACAATAATCCATTTAAGGAATGTGGTAGCAAGGAAGAACATTTTCTATATCAAATTTCACTATAGGTCACTGAACAAAAGAAATTTCTAGGATCAATCCCCATCAATAAAATGATGCAAACAAATTTGGTATAAAAAACCCATATAATATTTTAAAGGTCATTTCGAAAAATGACCAAATTCTAACACAATTCCTCACTATTTGGATGTGGAGCAGGAGAAAAACATTTTCTACATCAAATTTTACTATAGGTTACTGAACACAAGAAATATGTAGGATCAATTCTCATCATTAAATTTGTTGCAAAGAAATTCGGTATAAGGTAATTTTGTAGACAAAAGAAATCTCTAGGTTCAACCCCCATCAGAAAAAAGAACCCGAACAAATTTAGTATAAAACCGTTGAATTATTTAAAGTCAATTTCGAAGACTTTTCGAAAATTGACAAAATTCTAACACAATTCCTCACTTTTGGATGTGGTGCAGGAGAAGAAAATTTTCTACATCAAATTTTACTACTGGTTACTGAACACAAGAAATCTCTAGGTTCAATCCCCATCATTAAATTTCCAACAAACAAATTGATATAAAAACCATAGAATTAATTTTAAGGTAATTTCTTAGACTTTCCAAAATTGGCCGAAATTTTTGCACAAAACGTCATGTTATCGATGTGGTGGCAAATAAGATTATTTTCTATATCAAAGAACCATCAAGGAAATTTCCAGGTTCAGCCCCATCATTTTGTATCTCAATAATTGTACTACAAAAAAAAATAAAATATTTTTATGAGCAAAAAAAAAACAATTCGCTGCGGACAGGATTCGAACCTGTGCGGGTAGAACCCAATGGATTTCAAGTCCATCTCCTTAACCACTCGGACACCGCAGCTGTATGATTACCGGTGTTTTTGTCCGCATATCTACACAGCTAGCCCAGATCGCTTTGAACGCCGTTAAAACAACTAAACGGTTACTCGATGTGTTATCGAAAAATCGATGGGGTTTTACACTTATCGGGATTGGGATTCGTGTTGAGAGTTTTTCTTTCTCATTGGTAAATTGTGAATTGAGTTGGAAAACATTACCACAGGTTGGAATAAAAAAGTACGAAAAGGTACCTAAATTCTACTTCAAATGATAATAAATCATAACTATCGAGAAATATTGGCCAATATTTATATCAGTTATTTGCATAAATAATATATGTTATAATTTATGCGTAAATGTTTTCACGAATAATAAAAAAATCTAATTTTTGTTTTGGCACGATTATGGCAATTCGTACCTCTTGTGAACAAAAAGTACGCTTGTTATAAAATTAAAAAAAGCGCAACTCTAATTACTCTCTCAAGAGAGAAACTCTCAACACTAATCCCGATCCCGATAAATGTAAAACCCCGCTAAATTAGTCTATGCTCATAACCGCTAGTATGCGTTTGTTATGCGTCACTCCCTTATTCGTAAACACCATCTTTATTTTGATTTTGGTCTTTATCAGCCATTTTCTTCCTCCATTCCTCTATTCGTAACATGTGGAAAATTACTCTGCTACGCCCCCTACATATTTTTCCAACAAACAACGTTTTTATGGCCATTTGAACACATTTTATAGCAAAAACGAAGAAGAGCATTTTAACCCACTTGTAGAAATTAAAAATTTAATTTGTTGCATTTTTTGTGTCACCTAGTCACATCTCTGTCTAGTCACAATCTCTGAACCACCCTGTTCTTTGCCCAGTCACATTGTTTTGACTTAAAGCAACCCTGTTATCTTCGGGAATGAACAGTTGATATTGTTGTTGAGCAAGCCCTAATCGCTTCATTTGTTTTGATTCCCCTATTCGGTCCGATTTTCGACCCAAGAGACACTAATACTAACTAATCATTGTTTGTTTTGATTCTGACTTTTATCACATACGTTTTAAAGCTATTTCGTCCAATTCCGTAACGCCGTTAAAACTTTAAGAAGCGGCATTGTACTTTGCATCGTTCAAGTATTCAATAACCAGTCCTGGTGAATGAACACATGTCTCCACCACTTGATGGAGACACATATGACATTTCCCCACATCTTAAAAAAAGTCGCATTTTAACCCACTTGCTCTTTGAAAACAAAAAACAAAAAAAATCAAATTCAAAATCATGGCTGTTCTTCCACCTGATCCTGTATTTACCCTAAGATGTGCTGAAATGGGCCCTGTCAATTCCCTGTGCTTTCATCGCAACGAACGTCTTCTGGCCGGCACCACCAAAGGTAAAATTTTCCTCTGGGATCTTTCCACCAATCGTTCCAGTTTACATTTTGAGGTGGGACATCAGGAACCCATCACTGCCCTACACCACACCGATGATGAACTGCTGATATCTCAGGAAAAAGGTGGCCGCATCACACTGTGGCAAATGACCAATACCGGTTATAAACGTCAGCTGGTTTTGCCGGCCAATTATATGGGCTATTGTCGTTCCGTTCTATTTAATAATGCCCACAATCAAGAGGACCCATTACTGTTCTATCCCTGTGATGAGAATACAATTGGTGTTTTGCATACCACGGATCCGGAGAATTCGGTGCAAATGTTAGTTCCTGCCGAACAGCTACCCCAGCAAAAATTGGGTACATTGAATTGTTTGAAACCCTTCGAACATGCGTCGCAAATATTTTGTCTGGCCGGTTATGAGAGTGGTTATTTTCTGACATGGGATCTTAGTTCGGGTATGGTTGTGGATGTGGCACAAATCGAGCCAGATCCAATGGCTGTGGATTATAATCCAGCAACAAATAGAGGGGTGATTGGAGGGCCAGGTAGGTTTCTCATTCATAAATTAAAGTTAATTTTTTTCTAATCTTTATTTATTTTTTTTTTAGGTGACAAAATAACCACCTTCTCCTATCAAAGACAAACAATGCGGTTTCAACGTTCCTCAGATATAGCCCTAAAAAATCCCGGCATAAATTGCATCAAAATTCGACAAGATCAAAAGGTGTTCTGTGCCGGTGGTTGGGATGGTCGGGTGCGTATATTCTCATGGAAGAGTCTACGGCCATTGGCAGTGTTGACAGAACATAAATCAGGTGCCATCATGGATATTGCCTATTCCACCGGGCCGGTGGCCATGTGGAAGGCTCCCATTATGGCTGTGGCCGGTATGGATAGTCAAATTTCTTTATGGAATTTATACAATTGAATTGAATGATCGATGACCTTATAGTGTCATATACATATATATTTATACATAGTACGTTAAAAAATCGTAGTCATCTCTTATGTCTAATTTTTACCTCATTTTTAATTATTTTTTATTATTATTATATACATACAAAAAAAAAACAACTAAATTATAGAATATATATTTTTTGTTTTGATGTGCACAACTCCATTAAAAGCATAACATACTAATGCACAAGTAATTCAAATGAAAATTTATATATACTCTATATGTGTTTTTCTAATTAAGATCCTAAGGATTTATATATTATATATATTTATAAGAATAATGCAAATATTTGTATATTTTTTATTAAGAAGATGAAGAAAATAATAAAAAAAACTTTCCATGTTTTTTCTTAAGTCTATTTGGTTTGTATTTCTTTTTTGTCCAATTTGTGGCGAATTTTCCCCTAGTAACACATTTTATGGATTTCATACCAAAGAAGAACATATTCTTTATCGAATTTTACTATAGTTTACCAAACACAAGAAATCTCTAGGGTCAATCCCCATCATAAAATTTACTGCAAACCAATTTGGTATAAAACCATAGAATTAATTAAACGTAATTTCGTAGACTTTTCGGAATTGGCCGAAATTTTCCACAAAACGTCATGTTATCGATGTGGTGCCAAAGAAAAGCTTTATCTACACCAAATTTTATTATCGGTTACAAAACACAAGAAATCTCTAGGATCAATCCCCATTATTAAATTTACTGCAAACAAATTTGGTATACAAACCATAAAATTAATTAAAAATTTTAATTTGAAATTTAATTTAATTTACTGCAAACAAATTTGGTATAAAAACCATAGAATTAATTAAAAGTGATTTCGTAGACTTTTCGAATTTGGCCGAAATTTTCCATAAAAATCATTTTATCGTGATTTTTCAAGCAAATACAAATAAAAACCTATATAGAATGGTTTCCTATTATTTAACGAAATTTATTTATTTTTTTTTTAATTTTTGTTTATATTTATTATTTTTCAATTACTACAGAATAAAATCAACTAACGAATCGAAATATAATAATTTACATTCTTTTGTTTTTAAAAATTCTAAGGAGTTAGTATCAAAAAATATATTTAAAAAAATAGAAAAATAAATAGAAAACTATAACTAAGAGAAAACTATCATAAATAATACTATATTTAAAAATAATCATGGTGTTGAGCTTAAACAACTAGAACAAATACATAAAAATAATAAAAATAAAAAAAAAACATAAAAATTGCACACTTTAATATTTAAATTATACAATGAGAAATAAGTACATATTTTATACTTGCATATATATATACACACACACAAAAAAATATATGTATATATATATATATTACATTTCAAATACAAATCGAATAACAAAAAAATGGGAACATTGCTTTAGCACAGGGACCTTAAATCTAGGTCAATTACAATTTTGCCGATTTGTCACAGATTACCTCATATTAGAGAAATGGTATCAAAGTAGAATATATTCTACATCAAATTTCACTATAGGTCCCGGAACAAAAGAATTTTCTAGGATCAATCCTCATCATTAAATTTGCTGCAAACAAATTTGGTATAAAACCCTTAGTATTCATAACATTTAATTTCATAGACTTTTCAAATTTGGCCGAGATTTCTCAGAAAACGCCATTTTATTGATGTGGTATCAGGGAAGAACTTTTTCTATATAAAATTTTACTATAGGTCACTGAACACAAGTATTCTCTAGGATCAATCCCGATCATGAAATTTTTTGCCAACAAATTTGGTATAACGTCCATAAAATTAATTATAAATAATTTCGTACACTTTTCGAAATTGGTCAAATTCTACCACAATACTCCATTTAAGGGATGTGGTATCAAGGAAGAAAATATTCTACATCCAATTTCACTATAGTTCACTGAACACAAGTATTCTCTAGAATCAATACCGATCATGAAATTTGTTGCAAACAAATGGGATGTGGTATCAAGAAAGAAAATGTTTTATATCAAATTTTACTATAGGTCACTGAACAAACGGAATCTGTATATATGATATATATGTGCATAAAATTGCAATTTGAATTTGTCTTTGAGACAATTTGAGGTTATTTTCTTAGTTTTTCAAAATCATTGAAATCTGTTTGAATTTAGAAGGATGATATTAATGGGAAATATATTCTTCTCGGAATTTCACTATGGGTCACTGAACAAACCGAAGCTGTATATATAATATATATGTGTATAAAATTGCAATTTTTATTTGCTTTCTTCATTATAGGGGGGTTACAAACAAATATATATTATTCGATTTGTTATAGAATGACGTATATATATATATATATACATATGTTTTTTAAAAAGTGTATGCATATATGAGAGTATATAAGGTATACAAAATATTTACGTATATATTTTAATAAGTCGCCATATATAAATTATGTAAAACAATAGCAATCATCTTTTGTTTACAATTTTGTTTTGTTTTTTGTTTGTTTTACTTTTCTTTAAAAAATTTAACACAAATTTAATTTTTCTTTAAAAAAATTTAACACAAATTTAATTTTTAATTACAAATTTTAAAATAAAAACGCTTTACATATACATATACTTGTTTAATTTTTATAATGTTTGTTGCTATTGGTAATACTTTTTTTCAAGCACTTAGTGCTTTGTTTTATGGGAGCGGGGTGGATCTGAGTAATTTATAATTTATTCTCTTTTTTTGGGGGTTTCTTCAAAAAGTGGTCCAATTATTTATTTACTATTTTGACTCCTGCTGTTGTTGTTATTATTTGTGGTTTCCATATCTGTCGTCGTCGTTCGTATATTCTTCGCTTCTTGATTGTCTTTTCCATTATCCTCCTCCGCATCATCATCCTCGTCATTATTTTCGACATTTGTTTCTTTTGTCGTTGTGGCTGTGATTTTTTGAAAATCACAGTCTATGATGCGTTTCCGCTTGCGCAAAGGCCTTGAGCATTCAGATTCTTTGGTTTGTTGTATTAGCAGGGTACGTTTCGATTGCAATCGGGTTATTTTCAATTTCGGTAATCGTTGCGGGTTGTTTTCCACATTTTGTAGCGGATCCTCCGATTCATTCAAATTCCTCGGACTATTGGGATTTTCTGTGGCAATTCCTTGCTCTTCCTGGTGGTGGTGTTGGTGATTGGACTTGGAGTTAATTACACAGTGTAATATTGAGGTATCACCGCCGTCATCACCATTGGTGGGAGAATTTGTTGTGGTATTGTTGGCTGAGGTTTCAGGTTCTTCTTGTCGTTCTCCTTCTTCTCTCACGTCGTCCATGTCTTCCTGGGGATTTTTGGCAGTTTTATCCGTTATCATGGGGCTTGTGTAATCCGTCGTTTCCTTGGTCTTGGTAAAATCTAAGGGTTCATCACTTGCCGAACAGCAGCTATCCGATGGCGTTGCCGTTGTTGTGGCTTCCTTTTTAATACCATTTCGTTCTTCATCGAACTTTTGCCGTTCATCGGCTGTTAAATAGGCCTTATAAAAATCCACCACTGGCAGGGGCACTGGTATGGGTATGGGCAAGGGTATAATTACCGGATATGGCACCATTACGGTAACGGGTGGTGGGGTGCCGACCAAAGCATTAAATGCCGACAAATCTGGCGGGGCGGCTAAACTGGGTGCGGCTGCTGTTGGTGGCATACCCATGAAGTTGCCCAAAAATCTAGGCCATGGTGCTGCGGGATTTCCCATAAATGGTAGTGGTGGCGGTGGTGGATGGGGTCGTGGTGTAAATGTGCCACCCATGGCAGGGGGCGGAGGTGGTCCACCATGTTGTGTTGGAGGTGTTGCAAAAAATGCCGCCGGTATGGTGGTTCGTCCGCCATTTGTGGCAGCAGCAGGTGGTGGTAAATTATGTGGTGTCGTTGGTTGGGAACTGGCGGGACTTTCCAACATCGGTGATAAGGGTGGTACATTCATGTGCAGGTCTTGTACACAGGAGGCGGCGAACTGGGTCAAGGAGGGTGTCTGGGATAGATTGTTGCGATTCGGCTCCGGTAAGGGGTTTAACAATGATTTTGGTTTTAGCAGCGGATTAGCAGTAGCAGAGTTACCCCCTTTTGGTTCCTGGCGACCTTCAGTGGAGGTGCAGGATTTCAGAGGTCTTTTCTTGCGATTGTGTTTGGGTGATTGTCGGTGCTGGGTTATGATCCCCGGGCTTTTGGACATTAATTTCGATACTGGGGCCACGGAGATTAGGGGTTTGTAGTTCGCAGCAATCGAAGGAGCCGCAGAGGGCGTGTTTGTACTTCCATTCTTTCCTGCCGTTGGACTCACTGGACTATTTGCTCTTAGCACCGATGCTCTTTCCATTAAATTCCTCACCCCACACCCCCCACTTGTTGGCGGTATTGGCGATGTCGACACCGTTGAGGCTGGTGATGCCGAACGACTTCGACAATTTTTCAACCATAAATCGGGTGTTATGAGATTGGCACCATTACTGGCCGCCTCCATGCCCTGTTCCTTCAGATGTGGATTCATATCGAGATGAGCCTGCGTCTCTTTGCAGAATATTTGCATTTTATATTGATTGAGGCATTTGTCGGAACAAAATTGCAGTTGCGTAGCACCATCATGAAAATCGACATAGCTGACAGCGTGACGGATGTGTTTGCACCAATCACAGGTTTTGGCTTTTTTGAAAGAGGCTCGGCGGCTTTGTGTAAAACATGACTCGGAGCAATAGCGTGGACCATCGGAGGTTGTCAGGAATTCGGGAGCGTTTTCTGGTACGGGACGTCGACACCAGCAGCAGTTATCTAAAAAAAAAGAAATTTTGAATTAAAAAATTTCATTTTGAAAATTTCTATGCAAAAAAAATGGAATTTTTAAAAAAAAATCGAATTAAAAAAATTGATTTTAAAAAATTGAGTTTTTAAAAAATTTCGAATTAAAAATTATATTTTCAGTTATATGGGGACTTCCCCGAAACATGGACCGATTTTGATCATTTTTGGTAGGGAGATTTTCTACCCCGAAATTAAAAAAAAATGACTTTTCAATTTTTTTCATAAAATCGAAGTTGCAGCTATTTTTTTCTGCCCTCTTTGAGTGGAAAACTATCATGGAAAAGGGTTGGACTCAGGCTATTGAAAACAATGCCCAAAGAACATGTGTGCGTGCATGTGTTTCCATCAAAACTCTAATGAGTGTTATTTGAGATGTTATGAAAGCAAAACCTAACATGAACTTCTTTGTCGGTTTACAAAATACTACCACATACATATGTATGTAAATACGATTCGTATTAGGATCTGCAGCATCTGGCCACAAGCTGTTGGATTTATGTGTAACATTCTTAATCTGTTCTAGGTAAGTATTATTCACACAATTAGAGGATGATATTGAGATTTGTTGTTGTTGCAGGGAATCATTGCTATTTTTTTGGAATGTATTTTCCATGTAAATATATACATATATGTATGAGTTGTAATGTTTAATTGTGAAACTAAAAACTTTTCCTAAGGGCATTATTTTCTAGGAAAAAAAATAGTTTCACTTCGATTGGAAAACATAACCTTCAAAATAGCAATAATGGAGGCATGAACTGGCATTGAACATTTTTTGCAATTAATTTGTTTAACCACTATAAACCTGTAGTGCCAAAATATAACCACTTCGGTTTGGAAAATGTAGCTGCAGGACCATCAAAATACCTATGATGAGCCGGAACTATACATGATGGCTATAATTAAAGATGGTCCGATATCGATAATTTCTGGTAGGAAGTTTTGGCACCCAATGAGAACTCCAAATATTGAATTATAGCTAATTCGGTTAGAAAAATGTACCAAAAATATTCGAAATATCGAAAATCGGAGGGTACTAAAACGCGGACCGATGTGGATAATTTTTGGTAAGAAGATTTAACACCTAATAAGAACTCCAAATATTAGAAGCGATTCGGCTGGAAAACTTGTCTAAAATCCTGAAAATAATGAAAATGAAGGGGTTCGGTTACTTACCCGAAAATACAAAACTTACCCGATTTTTCATCAAACGTATTTGTGGCTGGCAGTATTCCCGTGGAATGGGGACTTTTTGAGTCATCATCTAATTTGTGGTTGGAAGATTTTTTAACCCCTGAGAACCCCAAATATCGAATTTTCAGCAAATTTTGTTGAAAATTGTGGTGGAAGTTCGCGAACTGCGGGTATCATGATCCGAAGCGGTGCTGTCATTGCCACGATAATTCGGGCGAGAGCAAGTGGTGGTGGTGGTGTTGTTGTTGCTGGTGGAGGTTGATGTACCGCTTGAACGTAAGTGATCATTTTGTTGCTGTTGTTGCTGCTGCTGATGCATTTGCATTAAAGCCGTCGCCCGTTGACTGCGACTGCGCCGCCTCTCCATTTGTTGTTGTTGATGCTGCTGCTGTTGGGCATTGATTAGACCGGCCGTCTGCAGGAGTTTCGAAGTTTTCGCCGAGATATCCAAGCGATCGACGCTGTCGAAACCATACCAACCCAGTAATTCATTCATTGTGTTTTCAGCAAATTCCTGGGAAGGAGAGGGAGAGAAATATGAATTTCGGATTTGAATTCAGAACAATTTTTTGACTTAAAACAATTGTGAAAGTTTTTGAAATTGCTTGGTCAGAAATTCCTGGTCATCGAATACATCTGTCGTTGCTGTTGTTGTTGTGACCATGAAGCAGAAGAAGAAGTGGTAATGGGTATTAAATTCGTAAAAAATGAAATTTGATTTTGTTGTTGTGGTTAAATTTGTTTTTGAATGGAGTCGGAGCGGAGCGTGTGTCATCAACAACAAATTTTAATCATAAACTTTAATCCATATGGACCCCAATACGCAATGCAAGGTATCATCTCATTTTACCCCCATCCTCATCATTCTTTCGTGTTTCGATTTTGAAAAACAAAAACAAAAAAGAATTCCGAGTGTCACATGGCAAATGAAGACCGGTGTGAATTTACAAACAAACACACACACTCTCTCGCACACACATACACACACGAAATGCAAACAAGCTGGCTTGCCAACATTGTATTCTCCACGACAATCACTCACACACACTGACTGAGTGTGGGGTACCGAATTTCAACACATGCTTGAGGGCCGCGAATGGTATCCATAACCCCAAACGACATCACACAAGGATCGAATGCCCAGCCAAAATCGATCCGTTCCGATCTGAATAAAGAAAGCCGGCTGAATGAATACATTTAAAGAAAAGAAAAATAGGGGAGCAGTTCTGGAAGTGCTACAATGTTACCCTCGACAGTTTTTGCCATGCCATGGAATGTCTGTTTTGTTGTTTGGTCTGATGATGACTTGTTTTCCAGTTTGCTGTGCACATACCAACCATCGTCATATCCACACTCAAGCAGACATGAAATCGTTATTTTGTTAAAGGTATCAAATGACATTTAAAGATTCTGTTTTTACACTTTACCAATGTGAGGCGGAAGAGGAGAAGAGGTGGGGAAGTTTGTCATATCAATGCCAAATGTTGACAAAGTACAGTGAGACAAAAAAAGAAAAGAAAAAATGGTAAATTCAAAAAAAAAAAAAATACATGAAAGACAAACAAATTTTTCATGAAATTATTCTTTCATGGAATTTTAATTTCATGCACTTTTTTGTTTCATTATATTTTTATTTAATGAAATTTTTATTTCATGAAATTTTTGTTTCATGAAATTTTTATTTCATGAACTTTTTTAATCATTTTTTATAATTTTCCTCTTAAAAATTTCATGAAATAGAAATATCATGAAACAAAAAAAAATCATGAACCAAACATTTCATTAAACAAATATTTCATGAAACAAAAATTTCATGAAATATAAATTTCATATATTTTACTAAAAATCGGTGGTTATTTTTATATGGGGCTATACTAAAAAGTGGACCAATATTGATTATTTTTGGTAGAAAGATTTACCACCAAAAGAGATCCCAAAATATCAATCAAAATATCAATTAAGAGCCTATTTGTTTTTCTACAGACATTATTATTTTATTAAAGGTTATTTTTTATAACATTTTGAAATTTTATAATTTTTTTATATTATTAAATATAAAATAAAATTTATTAAATATAAAATAAATTTATTTATTATAAAATTTAATTTATCATTTGTGACATTTCCCCATTGAAAAAATATATTCACAGAATATCTTCTAAAAACAAAACTAAATTTTTTATTTTAAAATAAACTACCTTTCATTTGTAATCGAAACCGAAATTAATTAATTAAAATTTATGTGTGTGAACACACACAAACAATTTTACCACAATATTAGGTTTGTTTGTTATAAAAATATTAGGTCGTATTTATAATATTTTATTTATTTCAATTTTTATTTATTTTTTGTTTAATTAATTTCCGATATATGTATTTATTTATTATTTTTAAATATCATTTTTTTAATCTTTAATTTATATATTATTATTTTTTTTTAATTTTCTCCTTTCATTGAAGTTATTTATTTAGTTATGTTATTTAGTTATTTTCAATTTTATATATAGATACAGCCTATTTTCCATAACATCAAAAAATGATGCATTGCTTGGTATTATAAATAATATATGAGATTAAGGCTATATCTCGCTCACCTTTTATACAACAACAGCATTTTCCTTTAATTTATAATACCAACAACACACACATAATATCATATAAAAACTAGCTGTACAAGATATATGTATGTGTGTATGATGTTTTTCTGCTTATTTTCCAAAGAGATTTACGACTTGAAGTATGAAATTTAATATTTGGTTGAGCTTAAATTAAACAGCAAAAACAACAACAATAACAGCAACAACAAAAAGAAACAAAAAATAATACTTCATTTACACAAATTTATGATGGAAGGCTTACGGTAAGCACTTACCACACACACACTCTTATATGTGTGTGGTGAGTGCTGTTAGAGAGAGAGAGGAGAGAGAAAGAGATGGCATGAAATAGTATCAATATCACAACATTAACATCTGACGGCTAGAGATGATATGATAAAGCAACAATGTTTATGAGAGAGAAAGACAGAGTTGGCAATTAGAGAGAGAGAGAGAGTGGACAACCATTACGGTGCAGTGATAAAGGGAAATGGTTAAGATGGAGCGAGAGTATGTGTGTTTGTTTGCAATATCATGTTTAGGTTAATGATGAAAGCATGATTGGAAGTATGTTGCTGTTGTTGGTAAACAACAAAAACGGTACTCTTGTTAAGAGGCAAGTCTGTGCGTGTGTGTGAGGGGAAACGGTGTTTTCGGTTAAGCATGATCTAACACAGTGTTGGGCAAAATTAAATTGAGAGCAAGTGTGTGCGAGCGTAACTGTGAATTCACCATTAAAAACGACTGACGTAAAGAGAAAGAAAGAGAAAATGTGTTTACCCATCGACCCTCAGTTACGGTAGCGTATATGGGTAAGCATGCCTGATCTAACAGTTAAAGACAAACGGTTGTTCAATATGCATTTATTGCAAATTAAAACAAAAGGAAATGGAGGAGAAATGTATTCTCTCTCTCTCTCTAATTATATGAAGAAAGTGGAAATATGACAATTGTAGTGGCATAAATACGGATATTAATGAAGAGATTTGTTTTTTCAAAGGGTAATAATAATTTAAAAACAAACAAGAAGGGGAAAAAATAGTTATCATTACATAAAGACGAAAAAATGTGAGAAATAAAGGGACTTAAATTTATAAATGAAAGAGATTTGCTATTTTTAACACAAAAGCGTAAATTATGAAGCATTTGTTTATTTCGCAACCATAATTAAATATAGAAAATGAAATAAAAAATAAAAACATCATAGAAAAAATAATTTATTTACATAGTATTTAATTTCAATATGAATTTAATTAATAATCAAAACAACAACAAAAATTCTGATCGACACCTGATGCTCTAAATAACAATTTGTGTTCAGGTGTTCGTTTCTTAGGGTGGCAGGGCATAAATATTATTCCTTTAAGATAAATGCAGGCAGGCAGTCGGCCAGGCAAAGTAACATACTGTGGCAATGGTAGTCGGTCACCCAAGAACTGCAACAAATTGAACACACATGTCTATACATGACTATACACATTTGTATATTTGTTCAAGTATTGCAGCACAAAAATATATTTTTTTGTATATTCAATACCCACCACCCAGGAGGCTATGAAGAAGAAGAAGTGGTGATTTGATCGGTGTTAAATTTAGTGTTGGTGTTGTGTTGCTCACTTTGTTGCGGTGTTCTTTTTTCGGTTGGTTGGGGGGAATGAGAATTTTTCTCTGTCATTTGTATTTTGTAGTTTCCTTATGGTTTATATATTGTGCAGTGCCAATAAGTTTTTTTTGAAACATACGAAGAAGAACAACAAAAATACATATACTGTGAATTTCCTTTTGGTTTTAAATAATCGTGTCGTACATATCATATTTCCAACATATGCATTCCATTAATTCGGTTTGCAAGCAAGATGTTGTTTTTGGCGGGATTGTAGATTTACGATTTGCAACAATGTGGACAGGATTTAGTCAACAGTAATGAAAGATTTCATATGGAAACCTTAATTCAGCCGGGCTGTATTGAAAATTTCATATGGAAACCTGAATCCAGCCAGGCTTAATTGAAGATTTCCTATGGAAACCTTAATTCAGCCGGGCTTAATTGAAGATTTTCTATGGAAACCTCAATTCAGACAGGCTGAATTGCAGATTTCCTATGGAAAGTTTAATTTAGCCCGGCTGAATTGAAGATTTCCTATGGAAACCTTAATTCAGCCGGGCTTAATTGAAGATTTCCTATGGAAACCTCAATTCAGACAGGCTGAATTGCAGATTTCCTTTGGAAATCTTAATTCAGCCGGGCTGAATTGCAGATTTCCTATGGAAACCTTAATTCAACCGGTCTGAATTGAAGATTTCTTATATAAATACATATTTAATCAAGCTGAATTAAAGATTTCCATTGGGAACCCTAATTCAGCTGGGCTGAATTGAAGATTTCTTAATAAAAATTGTATTTATCTCGGCTAAATTAAATATTTCCTTAACAAATCCTAATTCAGCCGGGCTAAATTGAAAATTTCTGATGGAATATTACATTTATTGAGACTTAACTGTCTCGAAAACCATTCGATGAGACATTCGTACAATATATATATATATATTTTTTTTTTTTTTTTGCAAAATCATCCTCCTGTCATTTTATTTCCTTGCATTCATAAAAAGAATTCTTCTCTTGTATTGTGATCATTGTTGTTGTTGTTTTTTCTTTGTTGCATTCCTTAACTCTTGGTGTGTTATGTGTAATTGTGCTCGATTGTAATTGTTGTTGTTGTTGCCGTAGTTCATTTTGTTCAATTCATTATAATAAGAATTTGATACACTTTGAGTAATATGAGATTTCGTAAAAATGTATTTTTTTTTAATTTTTCTTCTGTATGCTTGATTGTACAAAAAATATATATGTGTGTGTGTGTGTCACTCACTCAGTGTTGCAGCAATGTGTATGAGAAAATTATTATGGAAAAATCAA